TGAGAGAGCTTCATACAGTCTACTCTAAATAGATCTAGGTGTTCTTTAGAGTGTATTCCTCAGTTCTTTCTAACTCAGTGCTGATGACAGCACCGTGTCCCAGATCTTTGGGTAGATTCTGCTTCCCTTTGGATGACATTGTGTTGTTAGCATGGTGTTGACACATTCCACAGCCTCCAAAGACTGGCTACAGGGTTCTCACCTCTACAAATGGTGCTGTGAACAACTGAAGAAAGTGATGAATTATCTAAGAATCATGGGAGGAAAAGCATTTCAAATATCTAATGTTGCTCCTGGCGACTCGGGGACATGTTTTGTATTTATAGAAACCTATAAATCAGGGGTGGGGAACGTCCGGCCTCAGGGCCGTATACGGCCCGCGAGACCATTTTAATCGGCCCGCCAGACCAAAAACCTTTAGAACTTATCAATGAAAATTTGTTTTAGAAAGTTGGGGGAAAAAAAAAACAATTCAGCGATAAAACAGATGGAATTGTATGTCCGAGTTAAGCCTGGTTCATGCTTCTCCGTCAGCTCCGCAAGGGACAGACACGCACGGATTGACGGAAGCGTTTTGCTCTCATACTTCTCCGTCTCCTGGAGAGTGTTGCAAAGCAATTGCCCGGCAGGACCACAGAGGGCGTAGTGCTGTTCTGTGGTATCCTGTCATGTATCGGTCCAAGATAGTGTGTTTATATTGTGTTTTTTGTGTATATAAGAGACTTTTAACACGGACATATTTGTCTCTCATTCTCCCATCGCTTCATGCGCTCCCCACCTCTAAACCCAAGTTTCCTGTCATTTCCGTCCACAAATAAAACGCTTGCTGCACATCTTTTCATTCCTCCAGTCACGGGAGAATTAAACGTTCATATTTTTAGAGTTTTTTTGCGAGGTATTCTTCAAGCTTCTCCGTGTCTGCCGCTAGTTATCCTCGGCTCTCTTTGCAATGGCGGCGCTGTAAACAACAGCGGCGTCCTGACCAATCACAAGGTTGCGTAATCCGTCTCGTTCGACGGATGTTTAAAAAAGTGGGCTCGACTCCGTACGTACATGCGTGCCTGCCGGATACCTACGCAAGGATGGATAATGGCGTTGCGTGTGCTCCGCACTGACACAGACGGAGAAGCATAAATCAGGCTTACGGCTCAGCGTCAGTGAATGCACCATGAGATGAACATCATTATGTGATTGAGACAGACGACTAAGGGTTAATCATGGCTGCTGTCAAGAAGAGGAAGGTGGATGCCGAATGCCGTGTATTCCAGGAAAAATGGACTAATGATTTTTTTCTTCGTTGAAGTGAAAGGCAAGCCAGTGTGCTTAGTTTGTGGTGATGCGCTGGCAGTAATGAAAAAGGTGAATCTCGAGCGCCATTACACTTCAAAACATGGTAAACTTGCGAAGTTAAAAGGACAAATGCGCTTGGATAAAATAAGTGCTCTTCATCTGAGTTTGATTGCTCAACAAGCAGCTTTCACACGTCCAAAGACTGACAGAGAGAATATCGCGCGTGCAAGTTGGTGAGTGCATTAATAGCAAAGAAGCTGAAACCACATGCTGAAGGAGAGTTTGTAAAGGAGTGCCTCGTAGCTGCCGCAGAGCTGCTCGTCCCCGACAAGGTGCAATTATTTCAAAGCATCGGTTTGTCTCAAATAACCGTGTCTGATAGGATTGCTGATATGGCACATTATATTAAAAATAAAGTGAAGGACACTGCAATTTTTTTCAATTCAAGTTTATTTATAAAGCGCCAAATCACGACAAGAGTCGTCTCAAGGCACTTCACATAATAAACATTCCAATTCACAGTTCATTAAGCCACTCAGAAATAATGTTTCCTATATAAGGAACCCAGCAAATTGCATCAAGTCACTGACTAGTGTCAGTGACTTGACAGCAATCCTCATACTAAGCAAGCATGCAGCGACAGTGGAGAGGAAAACTCCCTTTTAACAGGAAGAAACCTCCAGAGAATCCTGGCTCAGTATAAGCAGCCATCCTCCACGACTCACTGGGGATCGAGAAGACAGAGCAGGCACACACACACACACACACACACACACACACACACACACACACACACACACACACACACACACACACACGTACACACACACACACACACACACACACGTACACACACACACACACACACACACACACACACACACACACACACACACACACACACACACACACACACGTGTCTATAGTTATATTGTGATGTCTTACTAAATATTGTATTTGGTGAAAGATAAACTTTATTGTATTTATCCTAGTGGATCTATAATTAAACGGATAAACTAGTATTAGCACATCAAAAGTCAATGAAAACAAAAAGTTATTATCAGGAGAGAGAGAATGTATTAGTGGTTAGCAGCAGTGTGCCGGTCGATGGCCCCCTCCATGAGGCCACCACAGCTCAGCAGAATGTCATTGTAGCTTCTTCTGGGGAGAAAAACACTTACAGAGAAAATAAAGTTAACAGCTGAAATTGCACAAAATAGTACAGTTAAAGAGCAGACTGTAGAAGAAAGCAGTAGAGTGTGAAAAGTGGTCAGTGTATCCTCCAGCAGTCTAAGCCTATAGCAGCATAACTACAGAGTTAACTCAGGATAACCTATCCTATTTAGATGTAGGCATGTTGGAGGCAGGGCAAGGGAGAGCCGTCTTTACCGACTGTACACTCCACCTCCCTGTAATCCCCCACTTGTTCAGATCTAGGCTAACATCAGATTTTAACCATAGGCCCTATCAAATAAAAATGTTTTAAGCCTATTCTTAAAAGTAGACAAAGTGTCTGCCTCACGGACTAAAGCTGGGAGCTGGTTCCACAGGAGAGGAGCCTGATAACTAAAAGATCTGCAAGAAACTTTGAGTATTTTTCTTTGGCCTGTGATGAGACGACAGACATCACTAACACGGCACAGCTAGCAATTTTTGTGCGTGGAATTACGGTTGATTTTGAAACAAAAGAGGAGTTGCTGTCTTTGCAAGCCATGCACAGCACTACTAAAGGTGAAGATTTGTTTCAACAGGTTGTTGTGGCAATGAACAATTTTGAACTGCCATTCAAAAAGATGAGCGGGATCGCCACTGATGGAGCACCTGCAATGGTTGGAGGTCAGAAAGGACTGACTGCATTGGTAAAAAAAGAAATGAGCCGTTTGGGTCTGGACTTAATTGTTTGCCACTGTATCATACATCAAGAGTGTCTTTGTGCACATTCCCTGAAGCTAAACAACGTAATGAAAACTTTTGTGTCAGCCATGAACTTCATCAAAAGCGGAGGGCTGAACAACCGCCAGTTCAAAGAGCTCCTCTGCGAGCTTGAGTCAGAGTACGGAGATCTTGTTTATCACTGTGAAGTGCGCTGGCTGAGCTGTGCAGATATGCTTTTACGGTTTTATACACTGCGGGAAGAAGTCAGACATTTCATGGAGATGAAGGGGAAACTTGTCTTGGAGCTCAGTGATGACAAGTTCTTCAGTGACCTGGCCTTTATGGTGGACATCACCAAGCACCTGTCAGAGCTAAATATCAAGCTGCAAGGTCCCAACCAGCTCATCAGCTCCCTACTTTCAAATGTCACTTCATTTGAAATGAAGTTAAAGCTCTGGCAAGGACAACTGGGAAAGGGAAACGGTGCACTTTCCAACCCTGTAAGAGCAAAAACCTGATGTTACATCTGAATATGCCGTTGAGTGTGCAAAACTCATCCAAGCATTTGACAACAGGTTTCAAGATGTGAAAAGTATTCAAAAGGAACTGGACATCTTTGCTACACCATTTAATGTGCAACCATCTGATGTGCCAGACAACCTACAAATGGAAATAATTGAACTGCAAAATAACACTGAGCTCAAAGCTAAGTACAACAATCTCTCTCTGCTGGACTTTTACAAACTGTACATCTGTGCAGAGGATTTTCCCAACCTGAGGAGACATGCCCTGAAGTTTGCATCTCTATTTGGGACAACATACAAATATGAACAGTTCTTCTCAAAACTGACATTTGCAAAGAGTCGCTTCCGCTCAAGACTGACTGACCCATACTTGGAAAACCAGCTTCGAATGGCATCTTCAACCCTACCAGCTGACATCAAATGCCTCTCCAAAGAAAATCAGTTCCAGCCATCTCATTAGGTGAGTCTGATGTGCAAAAGTTCAGCAATTCCCAGGCTTAGAACACAGTAGTTATAGACTTTATATTGTTCTTTCTATTGCATCACTTGGTATGTGTTTATTATAGCATGGCCCTCAGAGAACTATTGAAAAAAATTTAATGGCCCTTTATAAGAAAAAGTTCCCCACCCCTGCTATAAATCAACATGTTTTCATTAAAATAAAGATGTATTTATTCTGTCATGCTTTGACTGAGGATTGTGAAATTATGTACACTTATGTGATGTCGTAGAACCTACAAAAAAATCTCTTGAAGCCATGCTCCCTATACTCCAGGAAGTCTGCCATTTTGGTCCACGTATGCCATTTTGTAATTTTAGCACACGTTAAAGGTGCCCAACTCAACAGCTCAATGGGAATTCATTTGATTTTTAATATGACCCGCTGAGCAAGAAATGGGTACAGAATCTTGTTAGAAGCTGGTATATTTACCTAATGTAAAAGATTTGGAGTGGGAACTGTCGTGTATGTTGTTGTAGGGTGCAGAATGAGAACACTTTGTTGCCGAGTTCAACTCCTTTATTTAGCTTCCAACATGCTAACCCCTGGTTGTCTCCCTCTCCTCTAGCTCCCCTGCCTGGCCACCCCTTGTATTACTCCATTACACCACATCCCTCTTTCTGCTAGCCTGGCAAGCCAGACTAAATAAATGTATTATTTAGTGGCCATGCTCCATTGACGGCTCTCGGTTGTGGGGCGGGTTCTACCGTTGTCTTTCAAATGATCTCCGCATTCCACTGGACAATGAATGTGACACTGCGTATGTCTCAATTCAGGGTCTGCATCCTACCTCGGCCGGATTCGTCGGCCGGTTACGTCACAGCGCCGCGACTCGGCCTGTCCCAATTCGAAGACTCCTTCAAATGCGGTCGACGAATGCGGCCTTCTTTTCGCCTGAATGAAGGATGGGTCGGGTGTATCCTTCAATAGGTAGCATTTCCCAAGATGCCTTGCGGGCCGGCCGGCAGAAAAACTTAAAAACAATGGCGGACAGTGAAGCGGGAGCTGTCGGAGAGGATTGCGCATATAAATGTAAGTATAAACTTGAAAACTGTCAGTTTAAGGACTTTTTGTGATACATGAACGTTATTTTAGTTAGAAATGTTACAGTAAAAGTGCTTGTATTGCGGTCTCGGCTCGTATGTTCGGCCACGCTCGGTGTCGTACTTCTCCCACTACGTTTCCCCCTGATTTTAATAGAAGTTTGTATTTTAGGACCAAAAGAGAAAACCAGGGAATTTATTAAGCTTAGGGCGGAGATGGACCACATGATCACCGGAGCAAAGTATTCGGCGGCTGTGGCATGGAGGTACAATAACATCTCATATTTTAAAAACTCGTTTGAGTATATTTTTTTCTGCGAAAACATGAAAGGAATAACCCGTTGTCCTCTTTTCTCTTCCTGTTTCTTTTCTTACATGTTTGTTAAGACTATTCTGGAGAAAATGGGCATCCAGGGGAAGGTGCCAGCGATGAGCTTCTGGAGCTGATCTGGGAGGACATGAGGCTGCAGAGCAGCAGAGAGCACAGGAGAGAAGGAAGAACTTTGACAGCTTTTTACTTTGCTAGAAAAAAATGGTTAATGAAGATTAAACATGTACATGTAAAAGAAATATCTAAATAAAATCAGTTCTGCATTAAACTCTTGAATTTTATTTTTGTTTACAAATGAGAATTGTTTACTAGAGGGTATCCGCTGGGTCTTGAAAAGTCTTAAAAGGTGATAAATCGGTTTTGGTCAAAGTAAGACCCTTAGAAAGTATTAAAAACTATTATCACATCTTTGCTCAGGCTCAGCTAGTCTAAAGTATTTTCTCTGAATTAGCTCTCCAACAGTCAAGGAAATGATTAACCCCCAGAGACCCACGGTTGTAGTATTACAACATCAGATTTAAGTCTACAAAAATAAACCTTCCCCATTTTTTTTCTTTTTAAAACCACATTTACATTTCTAATAGGTCCTATTCAGTTCTGCAACACTATTGGCTGTTAAAATGTGTAAATAGGCCCGTTTATCTGTCCTCCTAGAACAACTTGTGAAAGGTTAAAAAATATTTTGCAGTTGTTTTCTAAATTTGGGTTTCTGGGGGTTAAAAAGCTAAATAAAACGTCGAGCTCCATCGTTTAAGGTTCCTTCTGCCCAGCGGTTCCACGGTTGCTAGGCGACGGAACGTTCGCCGAGGGAGTTCATGAAGGCTAGGCCTGTCCAAATTCACAGCCGTTAACATCCGGTCTACCCGGCCGACGGAGGACGCAGCCCACGTCGGCCGGGTGGGCTGGGTCCTTCGAAGGATGCAGACCCTGAATTGAGACACAGCCATACTCTTGTTTCACTCTGTTGCATCATCCCACCCACCAGGCATATAGAGTGCCCTGATTGGCCCACAAAGCGGATAAAGCTCTGTGATTTGTTCACTAAGTAGATAGAGCACTATGATTGGCCCACGTTTATGGACCAATCACAGCTCTTTATGTGTTTGAAACCCCTCTAAGAGCTGTGATTGGCTAGCCAGAGTCCTTGTAGGAGCTGCTGAGGTTCCAATGGAGCGTGCCTAGACCAAACTTTGCAAAGCAAGAATTTGGTCCAGTTCACTAGGCTACCTTTCTGCAAGCTTGCGAAAACATCAGTGCATTAACTACCCCTAATTAAACCATTTCAAAACTTGAACATGAGTCCTCTTATACAGCTTCTGTACTTGAACATCTTCTGTCTGTGCCTTTTTTTTAACCAGACCATAACACATTTACATTACTTAGACAAAAAGGTCTCACAGATCTAATCTCTGTGGCCTTTTGACCTCCCTACCTGACCGAGTTGTCATAACATCAGAGGTACTCGGTAGTGTCTTTGTTGGTGACTGGAGGTTTTGTCTGAGGACTGTTTTCCCTGGTCATTGTCCTGACCCTCTGCTGTTGGCATAGACAAAAGATGGCTCCGGTTTCTCCTCAGCAAGCCTTGTGGTCCTTCAACCAGGTAAGATCTCGGGTTTTGATGTTTGGATGTCACAGTTCCCTGTGTCTTTGCATCCGTGATCCAGACTTCCTCTCCGGGAGCCAATGGAGCCAGGTCTCTTGCCCTGTGTCTGCTGTTGTAGATATGAACCTCCCTCCATCTCCTCTCTGCGTCTTTCTGTTGAAGAGCCTGCAGGTCAGGTACAGCAGGCTGTAGTTTCTCTGTGAGGATCGGGAGAGTGGTACGAAGACGGCGTCCCATGAGCAATTGGGCCGGGCTGTAACCATTACTCAGCGGTGTTCCTCTATAGGCTAAAAGGGTAAGGTAGGGGTTCTTGGCCTTTGTGAGCAGATTTTTGACAGTCTGGACAGCGCGCTCTGCCTCTGCGTTGCCTTGAGGGTATCTAGGGCTGCTGGTCACATGTTTGAAGCCATATTTAGCAGTGAATTGCGTCATGTCATGTCCAGCAAACTGGGGGCCGTTGTCACTGACGAGAACCCCACAGATTCCGTGACAAGCCATCATGGATTTCAAATGAGTGATGGCATTCGTAGATCGTGTGGGGTTGAGTTGTGTCACCTCTACAAATCTGGAGAAATAATCTACCACCAGATGGTATGTTTTCCCCATCAGAGAGAAAAAGTCTGCTCCTAGTTTTTGCCAAGGTCTCTCTGGAAGTGTGCTTGGCAGGAGTGGTTCTCTGGCATTTGCTCATTCTTTAATGCACACCCTGCAATCAGTTACTAGTACACGTATCTGGTTGCTCAGCCCTAACCACCACACAGTTTGTCTGGCACCTTCCCCACACTTGACGGTGGCCATGATGCCCCTCGTGGATCTTGTCTAGAATATCATTTCTCATGCAGGCGGGGACAACCAATCTCATGCAATGCAGGAGCAGTCCATTATGTACACTCAGGTGTGCTCTCTCATGTCAGTAGTGTCTGATCGGCCCTTGTATGCAACCTCTATCTGGCCAACCTTCCGCACAGAACCTCATGACTTGGGAACAGATGTTGTCAGCATTCAACTGTTGTCGAAGTCCCGTCAGGTATGTGTCACTCGTGGGGAGGATGTTTACTATTGAATCCACGTAGATGTTAGTGTCCTCCATGAGTGTATTGTCCACTTGGGTAGCTTTGTCTCTGAGAGGAGCGCGGGAAAGCGTGTCAGCAGTTGTGAGGGTCTTCCCGGGTGCATACACTATTTTGTATGAGTACCTCATTAAGTGCATTCAGAATCTCTGAACTCCGGGAGGCAGTTCATCCAAGGCCTGTCCCCCTAATAAACTCACTAAAGGTTTGTGGTCAGTTTCCAGTTCAAACTGTAAACCCAGGATGAAATCACTGAACCTCTCACAGGCCCATGTTAGCGCCAGAGCCTCTTTTTCCAGCTGAGCATAGCGTCGTTCTGTGTCGCTTAATGACCTGGAAGCATAGGCGACTGGGGACCATACCTCATCCTTTTTCTGGAGCATCACCGTCCCAAGTCCATACGATGAAGCGTCAACTGATATTTTTAGTGGCAGGTTCGGGTCATGTAGGTGGAGGACCAGCATAGTGGAAAGCTCCTTTTTGAGACTGCGGAAGGCCTCCCGTTGTTCATGACCCCAGCACCATTGATTCTTTTTGGACAGCAGGTCCCTCAGCGTTTTGTCTTTTTCAGCCAGGTTGGGCAGGAATTTCCCCAGTTGGTTTACCATGCCTAAGAAGCTTCTCAGGTCACTCGCGTTGGAGGGTTCCTCCATTTCCATCACTGCTCTTGTTTTCTCTGGATCTGGCCGTATGCCATCTGCTGAAATGACATAGCCCAGAAACTTAATCTCAGTCTTTCCAAACTCACATTTTTCCACATTAAGCGTCAACCCTGCTTTTTCTACCCATTCCAGCACTGCTCGGACCCTGGCGTCATGTTGGTCTTCTGTGGCCCCCATACCAGAATATCATCAATGTGGCAGACTACCCCCTCTAGTCCACCCAGGATCTCTGTGACCATCATATTTTGAAAATGCTTGGAGTGGACGAAATGCCAAAGGGGAGGCAGTTAAAATAATACCGCCCGAACGGTGTGATGAAGGCGGTGTAAAGCGCAGACTCGTGTGACAGGGGGATTTGCCAGAACCCTCTATTAGCATCCAGCTTTGTGAAATATAGAGCTCCTGACAGCATGCCCAAGGTCTGCTCTACCGTGAGGATAATACATTTTTCACGGCATACTGACTCATTTAGGGGCGTCATGTCTACACAGATGCAAACTTCTTCCTTGTCCTTATTTGGCACCACCACCATACCGCAGCACCAGTCTGTTGGTGTCTCTATGCAGCTGATGACCCCCATGCGTTCCATTTTACGTAGTTCGTCCTTCACTTTTCTCATAAGGGGTAGTGGAACTCGACGTGGCACTTTAAGGGAGAATGGCTTAGCATCGGGTTTTAGCTTAATGGTGTATGGTCTCTGGATGAGCCCCAGTCCATCACAGAGTTTAAGAAATGCTAGCTTAACTGTCTATTTTTCATGTCGACTCTAGCCACCAGCTTAAGGCCCACGGATGCTGGTCTGCTCAACAGAGACACTTGAAGGTCTCTCACAATGAAGATTGTCTCCACAATGCTCTTTTCTTTATATGAGAGCTTTACCGTGACCGCTCCTACAACCTTCAGTTTTATTCCCCCAAGACCATAGAGGGACCTGGGAACATCCTTAAGCCTCCCTTCACCGCGTATGATCTCTTTGTACACCTGTTCTGGGACGGCTGTGACATCAGCACCCATATCAATCTTAAAGGGTATTGTACTCTATCTTATGTTAATGTCTGCCATCCATGGATCTTCCCCAGAGGCTATCTCACCCAGAAACAGTTCGTCGACCTCTTCAGCGACCTCATGCACTGACTTAGTGGACCTACACATCCTCTCAAAGTGACCACGTTTCCCGCAGTTAAGACACTCTACTGAATTATCCGGGCACTGAGACACTGAATGAAGGGGTGTCCGTCCACACCTGCCACATGATTTGGTTTCTGTAGCGCTTCCCCCCAACCTCAGGTTTCTCTGTTTTTCCTGAGAAAACTCCTTGTATTTCTGTTTGAACGGTTTCCCTCTCCTAATTTGGATCGTGTCCACAGCTGCTGTGTTGTCGCTTGACTCCCTCAAGTCTGACTGCTGTCTCTTAATTTCTTCTGACTGTCTAGCCATTGTAAAAGCCCTTGCCAGGGTGAGGTCTTTATCAAGTTGCATCTTCTCAGACAATGACGAATCTTTAATCCCCACCACTAATCTGTCCCTCAGAAGTTCATCATGCAAGCTGCCGTACTCACAGTTCTCCGCCAGAGTGTACAGCGCCGTAATGAAGGCGTCCACGGGTTCTGCTGGCTGCTGGAACCTCTTGTTGAATTTAGCCCACTCATATGTTACATTTTTCCTCGGAGCAAAGAACCTGTCGAATCCTAACTTGACCGCGTCGTATCGCTGACGCTGAGCGGCCGTTAGACTTTGTTTATTCTGCCTTTGTTTAGTGGGCACCATTGTGTTCAATGCATGTCTAGTCTAAAATAAAAATAACATAAATAATGCACAAGCATTCAAACTGCATGCGTTAGATTGTAGAAGTTATAGAATAAACGAAACTTGGGAAATTGAAACAAAATTTTTAATTTTTATCTTAGAGTCTTAACTTAGTTACCGTACATGA